TCTTTAGACAGAGATGGTAGTGGTGTAAAGACACATCCAGACTAAAATTTTAAGCACTATTACTCTTTATAAAGCACAGAAAAAGAGTGTTCCAAGAAAAATAATGAGCCCTACCCACATTGCCCTTAGTTCCCGTGAAGCACATTGCCTTGTAAGTGGGAGGGAAGGCAAAATTCGTGCAGCTTATGACTTTTCCATATTGCAGAGAAGCACAGGGCATGCATGTATATGGGTGAACTTCATTTACTCTTCCACATTAGCTTTCATAAAAGCGTAGAGAGTCCTTTTCTTCTTTATCCTCCAACCACATCTGTTGCTTAGAGCTCAGCCTCGTCACCCACTCATCCCAGAATTCAAATCCGAACACTGGATTGTCCTAGGGAAGAATTAATACCTTAATATCCAGTTATCCTACAAGTATTTGATCAGAGCAAACTTTGACTTTTAGACTACGCTGGCCTTCCTCGCAGTCTTAGTCCAGGCCACACATAAAAAGACAGACAGGAGGAAAAGCCCAGCCTTACAGTGGGGTTTGCATTCCGATACAGAAATATACAGAGGGTTTGTAACCACACACACAAAGAACACTTTGTACATAGAGTCAGTTATATTTTTTATTGTTGAAACAGTTCTGGAATGTTTTGGTCTCCCTGAGCTGGCAAACAGATGAAAACATTGTCCTGTAGGTTTTTTTCTTTTAAATTTATATGAGGAAGATTAATGAGCAGCAGAATGGACAAGAAGCCATTTCAATACAGTGTCCCGAAGGAAAAAGAGAGTAACTATAGAGACATAATAAGATTATAGAATGGTTTGGGGTTGGAAAAAAACTGAAAGCTCATCCAGTTCCAACCCCCTGCCATGGGCAGGGTCACCTTCCACTAGAAGAGGTTACTCCAAGCCCCTGTGTCCAGCCTGGCCTTGAACACTGCAGGGATGGGGCAGCCACAGCTTCTCTGGGGAGGGAAGAACTTCTTCCTAATATCTAATCTAAATCTACCTTCTTTCTAGTTTAAAGCCATTCCCCCTTGTCCTGTCACTACATGCCCTTGTACATGCCCTCTCCAGCTTTCTTGAAGTCCCGCTTTAGGTACTGGAAGGATGTTGAGTACTGTAACTGGAATGGTACAGGAAAAACATAAGTGGGGTCAGAAAAGCTAAACTGCACTCCTAGCTTCAGACTGCTTCAGGACATCTGGAAACCTACCTCTGTAATGACCCAGTCCTTGGATATGCCAACATGAAGGCCTCCCAAAAGGGAAGGTTTGTAGTAAGACACAGCATCAACATCACCTATTTTCATGCTGGGAGCTGAGAAAAACACTGCCTGTGTATTTCATGTGACCACAAAAACAGCACTGGAAAGGGAAAAGCGCTACCACAGTTAGCACCTAAATCCTCAATGACATTCATTACACATAACTAACCAAAATAGCTAACTGATTAACCTGTCACCTGGGCAGCTCCTGATCTCCAATTTACCTCTTCAGCCCCCTTCTGCCTCCTAACACTGAACCTCTCCAGGCCCCAAGATGAGTAGTAATCATGGTGCTATTAATGTGACAGCCAGCAGCCTCCTCTTACTTCACCCAACCTTGCATGGATTCCTTGACATTAGACGTAAAGCTTCAGATCAAATCATCTAGTCTGTGTACTTTTTCCAGTATAATTCTCCTCAGCTCCAGGATTCTTCAGTCTTCTTTGTCCTGCACCATCTACTTTCTGACTAATAATCAAAATACTGCAATTAACTGGACACATCTGTGAGTCTGGAAGCAAAGAAAAAGTCTGGAACATCCTGATGTGGAGAGCACTGCTGCTGTTAATACTGAGGCATTACTGGATTAATTATATTTAATTGGTTAGTTTGGGTTCTAGCAGCTGAAATGGAAAAAAAAAAGCATTTTACACACTAGAAGATTGCTGGGAAAATGAAAATCAGTTAGAATGGGGAGGGGATGCATTGAAAGTAACTTGCAGCATAATAAAATGGTAACTAGGAAATAGGGATAATCATAATGACTTAGGGTATGTTGCAAGATAAAGCCCTTATTTAGTTGGCTAATTTCATGGCATTTCGAAAAACACAATTACTCAATTAATGGTTTGATTGAGGAAATTCTTTGCGACTCTTCATGAATATACACAAAATGCTCGGAATTGTCGATATTTTCACCAGAAAAAAAGGAACTGTGGGTTCTTAATATGTAATAATAACAACAGGATACTGAGACATGAACCGAAATAAAAGATGAAATTAGAAGCTGGCTGCCCCTTGGAGCCTGTGCACTTTATCCTAAGTCCCTCAGCTGCCACAGTGATGCAGCCGGTGACTATCCAGGGTGACATAAAGCAAGCCATTCCAATGGGATAAAGACAAGTTTCATTTCTGGGTGTCCCCAGCTAAAACAATGCAACAGTGGTCTGTGACAAATGGGCAGATGACCCCGAAATGCCCCACAGCAGGCTCATTAATTACTGTACATGGGAGCTTTGAGTGCTGGAAGTGGTCATTTCTAAGTGATGGCTGAGAAACTGTAGCAGTACAGGACAGAAAGTTTGATTTTTAGCCACCGGATCCTCCTGTCATTGTGGATAACTAGAAGATTTTGACCTAAAGTCACCTTGTCCCAGTTTCTAATTCACTTTTATGCAAACTGGCTGATACTTTCAGAAATGAAAATCCCAAGATGTACTCAAGTAACGATCATTAGGTTTGCGTGGAGGGTTCAAGCTTATTCTGCATGTAGAAAAGAATGAACCTAATTCACAAGAAGCAAAATGAGAAATACTAATGAAAGGGGATGTGCTAATTCTCATAAACCCCTACTTGAAAGTGCAACGTCCAGTGTTCAGAATGAAAAGTCATTTCATGTCTTGAGTGACCCATTACACAAAAAAATCCAGAGAAGGAAGAACTAAAAGGAGAAAGAGAGCAGCTGGTAGAACAGTGCCATTGCTTTTTCATAAATTATACCCCAAAATGTTTCACAAAATTGAAGAAAACAGAACAAAACAGAAAGGACCTTTTTGTGGCACATTCCTTTGGCAAATGCAGGGTAAAGCCCATCATGTGAGTCCAACAGCAAATGAAGGCCTTATGCTTTATGAAAATTCTCCTATTGTCCCAGCAAGGATGAGAGTCAAACATAGCAGTTTCAGCAATGCTTTTGCAAATAAAGTTAGCAGGCAGGAATCAGCAGACTGCTTGGGGAAGGGGAAAAAAAGAACAGAAAATACTCTTTCTGTACTCTTTCTGTACACAAAATATAGGCACACTGCTCTGCATTTCAGACCCAGCTTCACCGTGAGATTAATCGGCCCCACACCATTTAGCAAACAGCATATGACATCCATCTACCTCTGCTGCTTCAGCATCTTCCCAAAAATATATAAAGCAGGATTTTAAATAGTACGTTAGCCCAGTTTCCTTTCACAAAGCCTTACAACGAAGTTTAGGAAAATTCCAAAAGTAGCATATTGATTGCCTCTGGGATTTTCCACTTAGCAATTTAATAGAAAATTACACCCTTACCCAATCTGTGAGGTTTCAATAACCTCCCTCATGAATTTAATTTTCCAGAGTCTAATAAATTTCACCAGTAGGCATATTTTCTTATATTGCTTCACCATTAAGCCTATTTCCCTACCTTGCTTTTCAGACCCAGGTATGCTCTGTCTATGGTGTTCAGACCAGCACCTTGCACAAGAGAATTCAGGTCTGGCTGTGTCCACACACGCAGTCAGGATACAAATCACTATTGTTAATATTCAAATTGCTTTCCTCGCACTAATTTTATGTTTTTATTCCGAGTGTTAGGGTCAGTCACTATTACCGAAGCCAATGGGATTCTCCTGGGTACTGTGACGAGACCAAAGGAAGATCTGCATTTACATCTGTTCGGGTAGGCGTTTGCAAGTTATCACATACTCTTCCCCTTGTCACAACACAGCCTGACTGCACGTAAAACACAAGATGATGATCGGGAGCTGTGTTTTCAGTTATTGGTAGTCATAACTGTAAAAGCCTGGGTCCTTCCTCTACTACAGGCAACAGGCAGAAGTATTGCTGACTATAAAAACAAACACATTAACCAGAAACGAATTTAGAACTGGAAGTATTGCTGGAAGTGTCAAGTGGTGAATAAATCCAAGCAGCCTTTCGGCCATCCGTATGGCTGCGGTGACCTCCCGGTGACCATCGGAGAGGCACTAAATCTCACTCCTCCGGAGGACCGAGACTCTTTCCCTCTTTGTACAGCGTTTAACTCGCCAGCCCGGCGTGCTCCTCCAGGCCTCGGTCCGCGACGCGAGCGGGCACACCGCTGCGATAATGACCGTAGAGCCCGGTAACGAGCCGCTGCTGGCGTCAGCCGAGCCCCGTTTCTCGCCTTTACCTACTTTGCGCAGCCCCATCCCCTCCGGACCTTGTCCCAGGAACGGCTCCGCTAAACACTGACAGTTCCCCCTTCAGCCCCGCAGGGAACCCACCGCCACGGCCGGGGCCCGTGGCCAGCGGCGCGGCCCCGAGCGCCCGGCGGCAGCGCAAGGCCGCACCGAGAGGCCGCCGCTCCCATCACGGCCGGGCACCCCCGCTGTCCGCCGCGGAGCCTTGCCGAGGCCGCGGTGGGGGAAGCTGTGGCGGCGGCGGGGCACGGCAGGGGGAGCCCGAAAGTGTCCGGGAGGGGATGGGGTGCGTGGGGATGGGGAGCTGTGGAGGCGGCGGGAGGGGGTACACAAAATGGCGCTGCCCCCTCAGCCCCTCTCCCCACCACCCCCGCGGCGGGGCCCGGCGGCACCGGCCGCCTTTCCCCCCACGGCGTGCGGCGTGCGGCGGCGGGCCAGTCTCGGGGTGGCAGTTTACGGCCGGGGCTGGCGGAACCGCCGCGGGGCGCGCCGGGCTGCGCGCCGCCTTCCCCCAGCAGGTGGCACCGGGGTCCCGGAGCCGGCGGCGAGCCATTGCGGGCCGCCCTTCGCCGCCGGGCCGCGGCCGCGCAGCCGGCGGGGGGGGTGAAGGCGGCGGCGGCGGCGCTGCCCGGCATCGCCCCCTCGGGGCTGCCCCCGCCGCACCCCGCTTTCCCTCAAAGTTTAGGGCGGGAGGTAGAGGGGGTGTGAGGGGAAAGAGCGGAGCCAAGTTGTCCCGGAGCCCTTTATTCAGCGCCGGAGCCGCTGTCTCCCAACCCCCGCGTGTTTTTTGCTGATTAAAAGACACGGACCTCGGTCCTGCCACCACCGGCGGGTGGCCGCCTGGCCGCCCCGCTCCTTCCTGCCCGCACCATGGAGTTCACGCAGAGGAAGAGAAGCAGGAAATCCCAAAGCTTTAAACTGATCAACGAAGGTAAGGCGGCGGCCGGGGGTGGCTGGGGCTTTGTTCTTTCGCCGGGGGCAGACGGAGTTTTGCACCGGGGGGAAGCGGGGCGTTATGAAACGCCCGAGCTCCGCGCCCCGAGTCCCCGCTCCCCCCTTCCCCGGCGCTGTTATTTAACTCCGCAATCCTGTGCTTCAACTCCCCGAAACCATTGCACGCCTTGTATTTGCTTTGCTCTTATCCCCCTTTTCCTCATTTTAACCGGGTTTTCTGCATGTGTGTTCCGTGTTGTTGCAACACCCCCAACCACCCCAGTAAGCTGGACGTGGTTTTTTTTTTCCCTTGCACAAAATAAAGTTAGATAGTGTTTCGTGGTTTCGTGGTAAATCCTGTTTCTGGAAGGGGGGGGGGGGGGGGAGGAAAGGTAAAAGGAGGAAGCGAGCAGAAAAATAATGACACTTGAGCAACAACGGACCTTCTTAGTATTCAACTCCTGTGGATTTATTGTGTTTGGGGTGGGTTTTTTTCCTCCCCTCGACTGTGTACATCCGCGTGTTTCAAAGAAAAGCAGAACAGAGGTTGCTTTATTAACAATCCACGCAGGTAACTAATCGTACGTGGGCAGGGGAGAGCCACTGGCGTGTAACTTGTTCACTCGGGGTGTGTTTGCTTTTGGAAAAGGAGCTATTTGAAAAGGCATCGCGGAGAGAGGGTGGGGGGGAACTTGGATTCATGTCAGGGAAGGAGCACAGCTCTGTTTTCAGTCTTCTTGTTTGGTTGGGGGTTTCTTATGATAGTAATAGGAGAAGATGCAGCCGCTGGTGGGCATTTTAACAGGTGGACTTCCCAGCCCTAGGGATTTGTTTTGGTTGGGGATTCATCCCTTCTCTGGCCAAAGATCTTTTTGCTCTGATGCATTTGACTTGAGATCTTGTTTTTCCTTTTGTGTTTCCAAGTATTGGGTGAGGATATCTCCATGAAACGGCTGTGTGTGTCCTGCATGCTAAGTTCAAGGCAGGTGACTGCTTGGATGTAATGTCACACTTGGGAAGGGGGACACACACATGCAAGTGTCAAGACTTGCTGTCTGAAGAGCAATGTCTTTGCAGGAGCTTGGCATAATCATGTCTGATGCAAGGAAATTTAAAGACGGAAATAGGCTCACTTGGCAGGAATAGTAAATAATGACTGTCGTATCCTCATGGGGGGGGTCTGGAGCATTGCACTTCCTGTTAAAACTAGAAGGGCAGCGACCTGTCAGACTTGTCTGAAAGGTATTGGAGGTCTGTGTGCATTAGCAAACCTATCTAGGGTTTGATTTCTATGGAAAACAGGTTTGGTTTGTAGGGTTTTGATACCAAACTTGCTTCTGACTCAGAGGCAGAATTAGCGCAGGAACCGGGGGGGGGGGGGGTGGGGGGGTGGGTGAAAGCAAAATGTGTGGAAAAGTAAAACTGAAATTGAAGACATGGTTTTATTTCTGCCCTAATAGACCTGTAAAAAGAATAAGTACGCTATCAGAAACAGGTAACTATTTTGCCAATGCTCAGTTGCCACTTGTTACAAGTTTAGATATGCCTCAGTGAATAAGGCAATCTATTTAACCTTGCTTTAATAGATAAATTCAGTTATGATGGTAGATTGTTAGTAATTCTCATTGTATCTGGGGTCTCTTTTTGGATGTAGAAAGGCTTATAGAAATCTCTACTAAAAACATATCCTAGAGAGAAAATTACGCCTTTGTACTTTGAGAATGGAGGAGATAAAAATCACATTTTGCATGTGAGTCTGCACTCACAGTCTTTTTTCTATCACAGTTGATTATAAAGATAATTATGTATAAATAGTTGTCTCTTGTAATTGGCCTTTGCCGCTTGCAGGAGTCATTCTGTAATGTCACAGTTTAGTGTTTACTGTTGTGAAATTGATACAGATTTCGCAGCGCCTGGACTGTGACATCTGAAGCAGAAGGAGAAAACCAAAGAGAATAGGGTATGCTGTGTCAGTTAGCTGGTAACACACCATCTGTTAACGATGTGTGCCCCTATAGTGCTTATTCTCGCCCCAAAACAACTTCAGAGCACCTTATCCAGGTGATCAGTAATGACCAGATCAAGGGGAAATCCATTCCTGCACTGAAATGTAGCTGTTTCTGAGGTGAAATGTGGTGACTTTAAGGTAGAAGCTGTAGATCAGAATAATATTGTGAGCAGCTGGTTGTACAGAGGGAAGTGCTAGAGAAGAAACCACGTGTACTCTATAGATCTAAGGCTCATGAGTCTGTAAGTCATTTAATTCCTAGTTCTCACGTGCTCATTCCCAGCGGATCTTGGAGGCCTTTGAGAGGATGAAAATGCTGAATGTGGCTGGTTGACCCTGGCTGGTCACCAGGTACCCACCAAGCTGCTCCCCCTCCTCAATAGGACATCTAATGACCATGGGAGGCAGTCAGCATAAATCCCATAGTTTCAGCCTTACGAAAGGAGCCTTTAATTCCTCAGTGTCATATCTCAAACTTCACCTTTTACCTGTTTCACTTTGCTGGGTGTGCTCAGTAGGCAGAGGAACCCTTCATGTAGCGCCTCATTGCTAACCTCTCCAACTCTGCTGTGGTTTTTTCCCTGCTCATTTTTTTTCAGGCCCTTTTCTGTTTTTGCGTTACTGTGTTAGGCTCAATTCCCATTTACTTACTGTGTTGTTCCTCCTCTTGCACCCTCGAGACAGTCGTGCTGTACAAATAAACAGCACCTAACAAAAAGGTTTGGCTTCCAGGAGACCTTTCTCATTCTGTAGCTGTTTTCTCAGCGGTGCAGGTGTGCTGCTTGCAGGAGGAGGAGCTGCTTCTGCCACCCTGTGTTTCTGTTGTGCCTTTTAAGTGAATCCCCCAAAGTGCTCTTCCATGAGTTAATCTCTGCCTTGCTTTTTGTGAGGCAGGTAAACATAAAAACCAGTTTACAGAGGGAGTAGCAGAGAGCGCTGGGAACTCAGAGGGCATTAAAGGAGTGAGGTGGGGAAGTGGCTGTTTCAAGACACCGAATTGATAGTTCAGTCTTGAGTGATTTGCCGAAGGACAAAGTGTGTGCCAGTAGCAGAGGCAGAAATAGCATCCAGGAGAGCTGCCTTTAGACATGGTTTGTTCCTTGGACTTACTCTTCCCTCTGTACGCACGTGTAAACACAGCTCTGGTTTTACAGAGCACCTGCCTGGGATTACAGTGGACACCTTCACAGCAAAATACTCTTTTTTTTTTATTTGAAATAGAAATCCAGTGGTGAATTTTTTAGTTAATTATTACTACTTTTTAATCCTGTAACATCTCTGAATAAGAGATGCTGGTGTTTATTCTCAGGGCCATCCTTAGTTTCTCTAGGTGAATATCCTAAGGTGTCCCTGATCCTCCTGTCTTCAGAACTCAGAGGCCAGTGGCACAAATACACATTAGTGTAGCTGAATGATGCAGCCCTAACGTACACTGCTGATTTTCTGATTGAGGTGAAGTTTGAAAGTTCCCCTTGGTCTCTGGGAAGGTAAAGTTTTTGTTATAAATCTGCTTTCCATCTGTAAAGCAAGAAGCCAGATAATTGGCATCTGGTGGGATAATTTGCTGTGAAAATGAACACAGTAATTTAGGGCAGGCGTAGCTATTCCCTAAAATCTGTGAAATATCGGAGCTGAGTCTCTCCAGTGTGAGCAAAGTTTTTTTTTAGGAGGTGCTGATACAGAGCACATTTTCTGTGGTTAATTTGATGTACATGAAATCAGCTGCAGAGATATTGATAAATTATGTAGTAAAACTGTAGCAATGTGTTCAGTGTTCATTTTTTCCAGATCACTTGAGTTCTAATTTTTTTTATCGTTTTTCATTCCAGATTACCACCCTGAGATATATAAGATCTCTGACTACAGCAATGATGTTAATGGGGAGACCAAAGAAACACAACCATTTTTTTTAGGTATGTGCTTGTGTTGATTAATTTCTGAGCGACATAGCGTGGCCATTTGCAATTAGGGAGGAAAAAACTCTCTGTGCAAGCACAGGAAGAGCCTGCCATTGTTTAATATGACATTCTTTTCAAGACCCTTATATTCTATGAATTGCCAATATATCCTTTATTAACACTGCTAAAAGTTGTAATTTCAGACATAAATGTTTATTAGTGTCTACACACAGTGCTAATTATCACTCACTCAGAGAGCCAAATGCTGACTCTGCAGTTTTGCAGCTCTGTGCTCACCCCATTTACATTGCATATTCCCTGGCATGGTTCACTGGCAATAGTTTGTGTAATTGGGGTATTACATCTTTGACATCTGGATAACAGAAATTCAATTTCCAGGAAGCTGCTATTTGTTTGGTTTTGCTTCTGCCTTGGGTGGGATAAAGGATTAATGTGCTGTCTTAATGTAATAATGTCCTTTCACCTCTGTAGCTTGCCTGCTAATCCTGCCATGGCAAAATGAAATTAAATCAACAGTTAAAAATGTGTAAAGAAAACAAAGTAGTAGTATACAGTATACAAAGTGTATATACATTGCACAGTGTATATACCAAAGATATATACTCCAGCATGGTAGGACTGGTCATCAGCAAGCCTTTATCTTCCTGTGCGTCCTTTTTGTCCCAGCTGCAGAGTGCTTCTTTCTTCCCTGCTTCCAGCCCCCTCCTGTCTCATGTAGGACCTCACCTGAGTAAAGCACCTCCTGGCAAAAATTTGGCAGGCCAAATTCAGAGGATCAGGAGCCAGATTTTTGAGCTACCATAATGACTCTTGTTATGTAAAGCAAGTTCTTGGGCACTTTGCTCAGGCTTTGGTGCAAGGAATTCAGGGGTGTCTGCCTCTCCTTAAGTGCACCAGGAGCCTAAACGTTTTGAAGGGTGATTTAAGGTGTCTGTAATCTGTGCCTGTTGCCTCCTGGAGCCAGCAAGAGGCATTGGAGTGTGTAAATCAGCACCTGAAGTTGGTCTTCATTGCATGCAAAATGCCTTTGTCTCCTTAATTCATAGTGCCACAACCTTTTCTAGAGGTCAGAAGTAAATGGGAGAGGAGAATGTCCTGGGCAGTGTGGAATCTTCTGATGGCTGGAGTATTTCCATGAGGGTGAGAGCTGTGTTAAATTCTCAGCTTCTCACCATTAGGATTTTGAGCAAACATTTCTTCCTGCACCCATTGCCAGAGAGCAGCAAATGTGGCTGCTGTGCTTTGTGTTTGGATTTCATGTTCTGTAAGCACTTTTGGTGGGGTCTGATAAACCTGATGGAGTGAGCTCCACCAGAAGTTTACTTTGAATGCTTTGTCTTCCAACAGTAAGTCATGATAAAGCTTTGGCAGGAGTTAGGCATCTAGCTGCTTAAGCCAGGATGCTTCTAAGAATCTGCAGGAGTCTGTATTTTGATGTCTGTACTGTGAGTTAGACCAGTTGATTTTGATTTTGGTCTGGCTGTGTTGTCTTTGGATTTTGTTTGGGGTTTGTTTTGAGTATGCCCAGCTTTTCATTGAAACTGAATGTGCTCTGGCATTTAAGTGCCTAAAGTTCACCTATTTCAAGAGCCAGTCAGAATTTAACCTTTAAGAATGTAAGTCCTATCAAGGATCTTCCTTATCAGGTACTGAAGCGTGGTGTTGCAGTCCTGGGGGCCCACCTTCAGCTGCTATGAAAAGATGCTATTTCCTGGCAATATCCTAAGTGTCCAACTTTCAGATTTCCTCAAAGCATGCTGTTTTTGACAAGGCTGAATGACAAATGACTGTGTGAGATTTGTAGACTAGACTTTTCCCTCCCCCTCCTTGGGGATTGGGTTCAATTCAGTAACTTACTCAGAGCTCACATAATCTCCTCACTTTATCTTCAGTAGGTTACTTTGGTGTCTGCTTTCATCCAGATTCCTAGTGACAAAGACACTGATCTGAAATGCAGGGAAAGCAGTAGCAGGGACTGAACTCAGCTGAAAGCGCTTGAAATCTGGGTTCCCACCTTTCAGTGGGGATCTGGGATGATTGGTGTTTGGCATTCCAGCTTTCCTTTAGAAAAAGTCACAGTGCATGGAGTAATATTTCATTGTGCTTCAGGGATGGTGGCATCACAACACTTTCCCCAGCTCAGTGTCCTGTCCACTAATAAGGAGCTTCAGGGTATAATTGCTTCTTTACTTGTTTTCACTGATTTATGCCAAAATTCATCCCAGAAGGATGTTCACTCCAATTCATTGGTTTAGAGTTCAGTGTGTTCTCCTGTATACGTTTGTTCTCTAACTGGCTCATGGGGTCAGCTGCTGAAACCTCAGTGTGACGCAGACTTTAGTATGTGGATGGATGCTGAGATACATCATTGAAACTATTAGCTTTAGAAAAGGTGAAATATTAATGCCAGTATATAAACAAGTGAAGCTCTATCAGGAGTGGGATGTGCATATGTTTTGGTCTCACAGTTAAGAAGGGTGACCACAAACTGTACTGTTGAGAAGAGGGGAGCTCCTAGGGTAAATGAGTAAGTAGGAAGTATCCAGTATGTTTAACATGCAGATAAATTAAGTATCGGGAAAGACCTGTTGAACCTATATGGTCTTTTTGGCACCAGCATAGATGGTCAGAACAGCTTTGTAGGCTGAAAGTTGGAGGAAGTTTCAGCACAATTAGTGGACGAGGTACTGGATGTGACCCTCTGATGGATGTGACGAATGGAGCTTGGTAAGCTTGTGAAGTCTGCTCATGTGGTGCAGTGTTGGACTGGGAGATGTCGTAGCTTGTCCTCTCCTCCAGTCCTCTGTTCTGATAAGATGATAAACAAGAACTTCTTTCTAGACAAAGGACATACTAAACACAGCCTTTGGGTGGGAGGAATGTCACTGCTGTATTTTGCAGATGAGGACTGGCATCTCTTTTGTTTGGAAGGGAAGGGCTTAGTTATCTGATTGCAAGAGAGACTGCTCAACCTGAAAAGGAGGAAGCAGCCCAGAGTGAAGTGCTTAAACCTCAAGTACAGGCAAGATTTAAGGCAGACCTGACTTCAGCTTTTGCCAGTTATCAGCATAAACCTTCTGTCACAGGGCTGCTAGCCCAGGCTTGGAAATAGAAGCCCGTGAGGGGACTGTACACCCATGTCTTGTGGACAGTGCTGATCAAACCTAGGTTGTGTGTATATATCTGTCTATCTTTCGTGTATACTACAATGGGTTAGGTGTTTTTTTTTTTCCAGTCTTAGTATTTTATTATCATGACAAAAAAGCAGAAATATAATATACCCCCAGCCTGAGTATTTTTACAATGCTTTCAACTTGAAATTCAGGCTCTGTGTTGGAAAGGTTAATGTAGAAAACTAATTATATTATCCTGGTAATCAAACGTGTGATGAGACATTTGTCTGTGTAATTAACAGTGAAGAACTTTTATAGTTTCATAAAACCCAATGCTACACACAGTGTGCTTGGAGCATTTGTTTTGAAGAGATGTCCAAAGCAGAGATGTTTATGACTGATATAAAGTGGAACTGAAATGTACTGTAATGCAGGTGTCTGTGCATTTTACAGCACTTTGCATTGTTGAAATGGAAGGCAGCAGATTAATAACTTCTCTATGTTATGGTAAAAATAAATAATGTCTTCTTGGAGCAGGGGAGCGATGCGTAAGTTACTCACTAATACCAAGAATTTATTCTGTCCTGGAAATAATAGCCTTTGCAAGTTATTCACAGAGAAAAAGTTGCCTCAACGCAAGCCTCTGAAGTTACTTGTTACTTTTAATAGAATTGTATCCCAAGTCTGACTGTTGCACCAGTAGCTTCTGTAATTAAGACTGCACAAAATGTTATTTTATATATCTGTGCTCTCTAGTGATCTCACTTTGTGAACCTTCCCTTTGAGGCTGAAGTATGATCTTGACCTCGGATATTTCTGAGAACTGGGGGAAGTTGTTGCATATCTACTACTACCTTTTCCATTATATGACCCCATTAATATATACATTTATTGAACAGTTGCTCACTTGTCCTTTCCTGAGTGATTTACCTGTTTCAGTGTGGTGTGAAGCTGTGTAACTTATGCTTCTGTATCTGCTCCTGTTGCGTGTTTTGAAGCTGTGTCACCAAGCTCTTCAGTTACTTTGTAGTGGTAGTGGCCAGACCACCTGGGCTGATCCAGCTTCCAGGGAAATAGGGAAATACCGCCCCCCCCCAGGTCCTCAATGTTCCAAAGATTCTGCTTTGCTTACATTAGTGCTTGTGATGCTTATTAACTTTGTGTCTCTCCATAAGCAGGGGTGTCAATCAACCTGTGTACTTACATGCTTGGTTTGGGAGTAGGGGGTCTAATTTGAGGGTAATCCAGTTTTCCTGCAGATGCAATCTTAGTGCTTTGTGTGGTGACATGGGGATGCGTAGGTGCTTTTAGATGGTGTTGTAGTGTACTGCTAAGGTGCCTTAACAAAGACAGCTCAAATATCCCTGTATATTAGCTTGGGCTACTCAAAGTCCCTTGCACGTAACTCACGCTGCTTGTGTGATTCTGTGACATTGTTCCATTGCTCTCCCTGCTGACTTGGGGTTTTAATTTGCAAAGCATGTTGTTGCCTGTGTTACTTGATCAATACAGGTTGACAAGGTTGATCCCCCAGCAAGGACTGGGCGTCCCTTATTTGAGAAATGTGTGCTTACCCCACCAATTTAGATACACAGATGCCAGATTCAAATTATCCACAGAGCAGTCACAAGTTTCCATCTGATTTAGGAAACCTTTGATCTGATAAGGAATCATGCACATGGCTCCTCTATTTTCTCCATACTGACCTTCACAATTTTCTATTTCAGGACCACTTGCAATACAAGATGACAGTGGCAAAACTATCTTGAGCTTTGCAAGTTCCAGTTTGATGTGGGTATAGAGAACGGATGCTTAGTTCCCTTCTGGGATAACTGTCTTTGAAGGAAATACTTGAATATCATAGAATAGTTAGTGTTGGAA